TTTTTCTCCGGTACCGGGAACCGAACTCACGACCTTGCGCTTGCCAGGCAGGCGCTTTTGCCGCTGAGCTAAATCCCCAGCCCAGTCACTTGTAGATGTATAAGCCAACATGAAATTTCCAGTTAATGGGTTAGCATCCCTGTATTATCATTCAATTTACATGCTGAATCTTGACCAAGCCATTTAACCTCTCTGATTCTTATTTTATAATCTGAAAAAGAGATATTATTTCTATTTAATATATTTATTTACTTCTAAAAATTGACAATTGTGTATTTTATGTGTTACAATGTGCTATTTTGATTTATACATACATTGTAGGAAGACTACAATACGATAATTACATATCCATTATCTTTTTGACTTTTTGTTTTTGATGGTGGTAAGCATAATAAAAATCTATCCTTTTAGAAATTGTAAAAGATGCAATGCATTATTATTAACTATGGGCACCGTGCAGTACAATAAATTGCTAAAACTTAGTCCTCTAGTCTAATGAAACTTTGTGTCTTATGATCAACATCTTTCTCCCTCAACTCCAATGATTTTGGCTACTACCTTTCCACTTTCTATTTCTATGAAATACTTTTTTAGAGTCCCCATATAAGTGAGATACTCATTTTTAATTTAATTTTTTTGAGTTAGCATCTCACTATATTGTCCAGGTTGGCCTTGAACTCCTGGACTCAACTGATCCTCTTGCCTTGGCCTCCTAAGTGGCTAGGACTACAGGTGCTTGGCATTGCACCTGGCTTAATTTATTTTTAATCTGCTTCATTCAGAAAATGATTTGAAGCTGTGACAAAACTGCAAATAAAAGAAGAAGATGAAAAAACCAATGCAATTGGAAAATAAGGATAAGCCAAGAAAAGGAAGGCAGAGTAACTTCAGGGCACCAATAAGCAGGCTGCCATGTTTAATAGAGGTGAGCAAAAATGCAACACTAGGTAAGGAAACCAGGAGAACTGATGACAAGATGTATACAGTCTGCAAGCCTATGGCCATCTCAGTGGAAGCACAACTGTTAAAGGTCTTTGGGACACTTTTTCTCAGCTCCCATTTGACCCACGGGCAGGGTGATGAGCAGGCCAATGTTCTCTACCGTATTTATTCCTATAGTGCACCTGATGTCACAGCTCATGACTGTTTTCCTCTATCGTCCTCTTTGCTGATAGGGATGAGCACATCCTCGGGCAAGTCAGCAAGTGCAATTCCCAAGGGTGGAGGTTACACCGGGGTGAAAATCAGGCTCTCAGACTATCCTGCTTCATCTGAGGACCAAATCTCAACTATTTAGAGCAGTAGAGATATGGCATATATTTTATGCAAAATTTCAAAAAAAATTTTTTTTTGTAACTAGACTTTTAATAAAATTTGGGGAATAGAGATACAGCAGTAATTTGTTCTGGCAAGATCCAGAAGGGTCTTACATGAAGAAGGGAAGGCTTAGCACCTTGTATAAAGTATGAGGGCCCTAAATAGACACAGGACTTAGACAGTGATTATCCCTTATCCTATCCCAGCAAGTGACGATAGGCAAAATCTAAATCATCAAACAGTTCTGGGTCTTTTTCAATAAATAAACAAAGAGGTGGACAAAGTTCTGCATACTGTGATGATCTTAGCCTGGGATATTTTTAAAGCAAGTCTCTCCAGCTACTCTTTGGGTCCATTAAAAAAATTCTTAACAAAACACTAAAGAACATCAAGATTTAAGTAATATATGTCTCCATAGACTAGCTGTAAAACATACCCTCAAATAAATGGATGGTTTGATTCTTTGTAGACATATCAATGGTAAATATCTATAAAATTTTATTTTCAAAGGTCCAAAGTAGACATAATATTCTACAACTTCTCTATTATATTTTTATGACATCTGCTTACCTAATGAAAGTGCTATGCTACTAAATCATAAATTTTACACACACTGAATATTAGCAATGATCAATATTAACATTTTAATTATTATTGCTTTTGGCTTAGAATTTACAAGAGTTTGGGAAAATAAGTTTAATTTTTCAAGTTTCTTTAAAAGGATCTCAAGCTATATCTAAGTGATTGTTGTATAAAGACTCTTGAAATGTTTTGTGGATTAAATGAGTTAATCTCTCCAAACATGCTTTATAAAGTCCTATAAAAATCTTAGTTCTTATGCTTATCAGAAGCCTCTCTGTATGATATTTAACATATAGGTCATATGCTATGATATATGTTTGTGTTTGGAGCAAAAAACAGCCCCAGGAATCATACATTATGCATCCTGACATCAATTGTTTTACAGTGATAATGAACAATAAAACGTTCAGAGGGCTTCTGTGTCTTCACTGAAATGCTACATTTTGGAGAGTGTGGTACCCACCTTGTCCACTGGTGGGTACAGGGCGAAGAGCTCAGCCTGCCGATTGCTCCTCCGGGCCTCCTCGTTCCGCTTCTCAAAGTCTTCAGAGCTCACACTCTGCAGCAGGTTTTCGAGCCGCTGGTCAGGCTGCAGGCTGCGGAGGTCGAAGTCAAAGGCAGTGAAGGGGCCTTTCCCAGACACATCGCACAGCACGTTTAAGCGGCGGGGGCCTTTCTGTGAGAGAAGACAGTGGCCACTGTGAGAGAGAGCGCACACCGAGGAGAAGCAAAGACTTCGCGATATTTCAAGATCTTTCCTCCAGTTTGGGTCCATACAGTCTCAGGGAGTTTTCTATATAAACCAGGGCTTTGCTAACCACAGTGGCTTCCTGGCTGGGCTGACCTAAAGTGAAATGTCTCCTTCCCACTTGGAAGCAGGTAGTCACTCACAGGATGCAGACAGACCAGTCCTGAGAAAGGTCCTGAAAACCGCACTGTGCTTCTATTAGCTGATGGCTTGTTCTTTTCTAGACGGTAGAAGCTAAGTCTCTTAGGAACAACTTGTATTTCATGCTCAAACAAATCAGAGTCGGGTATAGGGTAATAAAAGCAGAATGGACTGGGAAACAAACAGACTGGGTCCCAGTCTCTACCCCAGAATCTGGTTTTTGAAATTATAAGATGATCTCAGAGGATCCTCCCAAATTAAACTACATAAAGCTGAATGTCCTGTGTCCAGAGACAAAACTGAGAGTGAGGGACACTTTCCTACAGAACTTTAGTAGCAGTAATATGAGTAATAAATAAATAAGAAGGGGAAAGAATTTGCAGGGTCCACTTGTAGCTGCAGTGGGTTTGATAAGAATAGTCTTAAACCAGTTGCAAAGTGGATGCTTTGTTCCATTAGAAATATCTTAGTAACTGGGAACTGCATGGATAACCAATAACTCAACAAAGAACAGATTAACTATAGCCGGGGCATGGTGGCACGCCTAGTGCCCCTGCTACTTGGGAAGCTGAGCAAGGCAGATGGCTTGAGACCAGGCTGGGCAATATAGCAAGATCCTATCTCAAACAACAAAGACACATCTGTAATCAACTGTATGTCATAAAGCTATACAGTTTGGCATATTATCATACCTGCAAAATTTATAGTAAATGTTATTCTCAAAATTCTACAAAATGGACATAATACTCTACAATTTCTCTATACCACCCATCTTTGTGACATCCGTCTACCTCATGAAAGTGCTACTTTAGCAAATAATAAATTTTATCTACTCAGAATGGGCCAGCAATAATCAATATCAACACTTTAACTCTTACTGCCTTTGTTTGTCTTAGGATTTATAAAGTTTGGGAAAATGAGTTTATTTTCCCAGGTTTCTTTTTTTTTTGTTTTTCTCGGGTACTGGGAACCGAACTCACAACCTTGCGCTTGCCAGGCGGGCGCTTTGCCACTGAGCTAAATCCCCAACCCCTCCCAAGTTTCTTTATAAGAATCTCCAGCTATGTACCTGACAAGTCTTAAAAATGTTTATACCCTTTAATTGAGAAATTTCACCTCTGAGCATTGTCTAAATGCATCTAGACAAATGTGCAGGGAGGTGAAGACATAAGCCTCTCTGAAACACTATTTATCAGAGCAAAATAACAGGAATAAACTAAATGCTCCCCTAAACAAGAAGAGATTTTGGAACTTTCATATTATAGAATGTTATTGTGTAGGCATGAAAAAGGACATGCACTTGTTAGACATGAAAGATAATCTCAGTACAGTCATGTTCATATAGTAATACTTTGGTATACAAAGCACCATATATACCATAGTAGTACCATAAAACTCTATCACCTGGTGATGTGCAGGCATCTTAGGTGGTGTAGGTACGCTCTTTGATGTTTGCACAATGATGCATTTCTCAGAATGTATCTCAGAAAGTGATGCATATCTTTATACGTTAATATGAAAAAGTTATACAGTATTATGTATAATATTTAATTCTGGTGAACTAAAGGTATACTGGGGAACCATATATATGTATTTAACATATATAATTTTAGGTATTTGGCCTTACTGTTCAACTCAATAAGGTGGAGAAATAGAATGAGAGTGAAATGGAGAATATTCCTAGGTGCCCCACTGTCTGAGCATCTATCTCTCCATAGTGAATAGTGTCCTAATACTGTACCTCAAAACACAACTTCTGAATTGCCTGGCTTTAAAACCCATCCAAGTGACCAATTTTAGTCTCTGTTTATATGCTGGAGGAGGGAGGATGCTTTAGTGTGTTGACCTTTCTTACTGTCTCTCGGCTGTGAATTAACTGTTCTGTGCTTTCCTCTGTGATACTGGGTCTGGGACTCAGCAAATCACCTTTTATTTTTTGGTACCAGGAATCAAACTCACAACCCTGTGCTTACCAGGCAGGCGCTTTGCCACTGAGCTATATCCCCAGCCAGCAAATCACCTTTGTTTGCTGCTCCTTTTAAGTTCTGCCGACTGGGCGCACTACAAAGTGCATTAGCTGGCTGGAGGAGGGAGAAGAACCTGACTCCTTCCTCTTTGTTTGCAGTTTTTCTCACCTTGATAGCGATAGCTGGTTCTAGCCTTCGGCTTCTTTGGGCACTTCCAGAACCAAGTCACCTTCTCCAAGGTACCAGCAGCAGCAGGACACGGCCTCCTCACAAGAGCTCCATGAGGTTTCTCCTCTGAGATTCTGTGTGCCCTCCTCAGACATTTAAGTCTTTGCTCTGAACCCATCTTTTGAGCTTTTAGGTTCTGATAACTCCAAGCTCTTCCCTAGACCCATGGCCCCAACTGTAGTTCTGGGACTAAGCATCGGCATCACTTGGGAAATGTTAATTAGAAACTCAAATCCTCTGATTCTACTCCAGAACTACTGACTCAGAAACAGGAGGCAGAGCCTAGCACAGCCTCTGGGGCAGTCTGATGAAACTCAAGTTTGAGAGACAGGGCTCTAGGCCCCAGCTACAGGGAATGGTGTGCCAGTCCCTGAAGTCGTCATTTCTGTATAACCTCAATTTCCCCCTTTCGTTAACGAAACCCATTTAATCACTTCCCTTTGCTGAATGTCTTCTGCTGAAATACTTAGGGTACCTTCTATCTAATACAAGGAACAATTTAGTTGTTTATAACATAGGGTAAAAACTGAAGGTTGCCAAAATTACCAATGAAAAATCCCTCAGTCTCCCATGGAGCACCATGTAGAGGTCTTCCATGCCTCAGTAAGCCTGCCATTCAGCACCAAAACTGACAGCTGGCTTCTCTCTGGAGCTCATACTAAGGAGCTGGCTTGTCTTTGGGGACTATGTTGTTTGAAAAATAGGTATTATTTTAAAACCTCTAATAATATTCAGCATGGTATGATGCTTGTGCTATAAGAACACACAAAAACTGAAAACTATACTAGTGTAGAAGTCCTGTATAAATTTGGACAAATTTCTTCTTTGCTATATATTTTTCTTACCAATCAAATAAGCAGACTAGACTAGAGCACTGACTTCTTAAAAATTTGATTGTGGTAAAATATTTGGAGCATAGAATGTATCATCTTAACTATGTTTCAGAGGGGTTAAGTACATGCATATTATAGTATAGTATCACCAACACCCATCTCCATTAATCCTTTTCATTCTGAAAACTGTAACTCTGTACCCAATATGGAGTAACTCCCTGTTCTTTCCTACACTCCTGACAACTACATTTTGTGTATCTCTTGATCTACTGCGGACACTTGGGATACTTCCATCTTTTGGCTGATGTGATTAGGGTCTATACAGCACTGATTTTTAAACTGTAACCACTTCATAATAATATAATAATGATAACAGTAGCAGCATTTATAGGGCACTAAGTGCCATTAGCATTGTAGTAAAATCTTTACATATATTAATTTAATTAAAACTCAAGTAACCTCAAGAGTTAGTAGCATCATCCTTTTTCTAGGGGAGGCAACTGAAACCCAGATAGTTTATCCTGCTTAAGGTTATACAGTTCCTGTGTGGTAGGATCAGTAAGAGAATCCCAGCATTCTGCCTTTAGGATGAAGCTTTCAACCACTCTGCAGTCTGCCTTAGGGTATCACCAAGTCTCTGCAGGAACTGCTCTAGGGTTGGGCTCAAGGTGTCCTCCTTACCTTTATGAGAGCCACTCCACTTTTATCTATTTTAATCACTGAGCTTTGGGGTTTTCCTTTGAGTACTGATTTCTGAAGCCATAAGCAAATTTGGAAAAAGAATATATATTACTGACTCAGATGGTAGAGCTCCTCCTACTCAAATATTCTGTGAGTCTTAATTTCATTCTACTTTAAAAAAAACTGACAGCCCGCCCCGGGCCAACCATAACCTGGTAACCATATTTGTTGACAGGAAATACCTGAGCAGCGGGTTCAGCACACTCCGTTTCTGACTCAAAGGTCTGTTTCTGAAGCGTCTTGTGAAAATCTTTTCTTGATCCAGTCTTTTTAAAGCCGCAAATCTCTGAACTTCCTTGGTTTCTTTTATCATTGATATTATATAATTTGGAGGAGGAGAGGGAGGGAGGGAGAGAGAGGCAAAGCCATTAGATTAAAAATAAAAGTAATGGCATAAGTGCAGACTTGGTGCTGAAAGAGCTTTCAAAGAGAGGACCGATTGTAATTCCTCACATCTAATTAAGCACCAGGCCTAACACAAGGCCCTGTTGTAATGAGATACAAGCGTGCCTCCTGGCTGGCTCCTTATTAAAGGCAGGAATGGCCTGGGAAAATGCCGCTGCAGAGGTGCGGTCATTTCAGCTGTGGGGCACTTGGCTCCCAGCTGAAGCTAAACTATGACCTTAGTGTAAGACGCTGGAATAAATCTAGCAATGTGCAGAAGCGGGCAAATAAAGATCGTTTGAAGATAAAAATAGAGGAGCCCATTTCATGTCCGCATCAATGTTCTTAATAATGAATTTAAAAGGCAGGACATGGTTGAGAAAAAAAATAGAAAGAAACGTTTTATCTACCACAATCCACTGCTAACATCCTCAATCTCCACTTTGTGAACTCGATTAAAACTGTGTCTTAAAAATGTGTAGCTATGGAAAGAATTTTAAATAGAATGGTTAGCACAGCCACTGGAGAAATGAGACCATCATGAGAAAGAGAACAAATATAAGTTGTCAAGTCATAATTACAGAAACCAAAATGTGTATTCCCCATTTTTATGACTAAAGAGATTGTTGGAAAACATGCTACAAAATGCACAAACATGCTCCCTGATTTCTGCACTATTAGAAAAACTATTGAGCAAGTTGGTACAGGGACAGGCAACAAGGCTAGACTGTAAGGGATAGCAAACAGCAAACAGGCAAAGCGGAAAATGTAGGAGAGCTACCAGCAATGATCCAGATATAGTTTATAGCTCTTTGGAAGGGAGGAGTATTGGGGGAAAGGATGGCTCACACGCTACAGATATGAATATATTTTAGTTCACTGAATTAATTAAAGAATGAGATGTTCTAGTGTCATCCTTAGGGAGAACAAGACTCTCCTTGGATTTCATTGTGCCTTGAAGACATGCAAATTATTTTAAGCAAAAGGAGCCAAGAAGTAGTCTAACAAAAATGCATGGTCAGCTTGGTGACCAATTCAAGTCAGGCTAATGCAACTGTCCATCTTCATTCTCCTGGTGGCTTGAACTGGTCTGACCCAATCTACACGGACACAGCTAGGTGAAAAACAGGCCAAATTAGAAAACTGGAAGAAAAATAAGCAAATGGATCTGGTATACTAAGATAATTAAAAAATACATCTAAACATTTAGAAGACATTTCAAGAAAAAGATCCAAAATACCTTCTGGTTTGAGCTTTCTAAACAGCAGCAAAAGAGCAAAACTTAAAATATAAATCGTATTGTTAAAAAATATTGATTAAAAAAGTATTGTGAAGATCCTCTCAAATAATTTCTTGGAAGTAGAAGCTAAAATATTTATTAAAATTATTTTTAAAATTTTTATTAGTACATGTTTGCAGTACATAGTGCTTGCATTCATTGTGGGGAGCTGGTCCATGTACAGAACACAGCACAATTCTTTTTACTTCCCCTGCCTTCGCCTTGCCTTGCCTCACGTTCGCTTTTGCCTAACCCCTTCCCTTCCCTTCCCTTTCCTTCCCTTCCCTCCACTTTTCTGGTTCCAAGTGCTCTAATTGTGCAAATGGTAGAGGTAGTGAAAGGAAGTACTGCAGATGTACATGTGATTTATTCTAGATGATTTACCTTCTCTTAGCAGAATTCTTTCACAGAAAGACTGGATATGGCATTTCATAAACTGGCTAGCTTCTTGAAAGTTATTCTTGCCCACATGCATTTAGACAGCAACACGCATGAGTGTGCACTACTTTTCTAGGGCATAAAACAATTGCTTGTGGGCTGTTCTTAAGAGCTCACAGAAAAAAACTATGTGTAATCTAATATCTCAGGGAAAAATAAGCCCCAAATAGTGACAAATACAGGCAAATAAGAAGTTGTATCCTATAACTATACTCCCTCAAATAACAACATGCACATGAATCAGTGATTATTTTTTCTGAAAAATCCAATTTTAAGAGGAAAATTAATAAACTAATATGAGTGTGTTCTGAGGTTAAAAGCAAATAGTGAATAAAATTTGAATTTCCCACTTTGGTGTTTGCCCTTTTTATTTTTTAGGACCATCCACTCCAAAGGGTATAGTGTCAACTGTTCAATACCCCCAGGTCCTGCTTTGTAAGGCAACCTTCTTAAGTCACACAAATAAACCTCAGGAGCTAAAGGACTGATGTGGCAGCCTTAGCTACCAACTCTATATCTGCTTTAGCTTTTTTCCCCATCTTATAAAATGTACCTACTTCCAAGAGTGTTTACCTATAGACAACCCCCCCCCACACACACAAGCACACACACACACACACACACACACACACACAATTATGATTGTGTGTTGGGCATTGTGCCACACCTGTAATCCCAGCACCATGAAAGGCTGAGGCAGGAGGATCACAGCCTGGGCAACTTAGCAAGCCTATCTCAAAAACAAAACAAAACAAAACAAAAACAGGCTGGGGATGTAGCTCAGTACTACAAGAAAAAAAAATTAACAACGATAAATGCATGCCTGTCTCATTACGCTCAGGTCACATGTCTCTGCCTGTTTCTTCATGGAGTGAGGCAGGGATATGAGGTACATTCTAAGATATTATCCCCAGCTTTGCAATTTTATGCTAAAAAGTTCATATGCTACATGTGAAAAAATTAAAATCTAATTTTTTTTCCAAAGATGCTAAGTGTTTGGAGGACATGACATTTATTTGTCTACTTTTGTCTTGCTATTTGATGAAAATACATGCTTGCTTTTTTTTCCATCTTAGTTTTGACAGACTATCATCTGGAGTTCCTTACATGGACCCAAAAGGAGTGGACAAAAGGGCATTAAAAATTAGTTACAGGATAGCATTAAACCTTATATTTGTACCAGCTGTTAGGACTTTTGCTACAGAAAGCATTAAGGCCAGCATCTCCTATGAGAATATGTTTAGAATAACGCAAACTTTTCTCCCCTCCCTCGTACTAGACTTAGTAGCTACTTCCCCAACTGAATGTCTCAAAAAGTAACCAAGCTCCCTTATGTCAGCCAGAGTAGCACCGGCTGAGGAGGGGATGGCAAAGGCTGGCAGGCATATATGGTGACTCATCTGAGAAGTGCCAACACACAAGAAGCCACCAGTGTGTAGGAACAGCGACCAAGGGCTCAGTGTCCTGGGCTACAAGCATCCCAGCCTCATGACCTCACCCTGGCAACTGAGTCAAATGAAACCAAGTTCCTGTTGAGCTTACGTGAGGACAGCAGAAACAAAGCAACCAAAAGAAACTTGTCCTTGTGAAATGAACAGAGCCTAGCGCTTCCCAGGAGAATGACGCTATTTTTCTAAAACACTATTCTTCCACATATGGGTACAATCCAGAGACTAAGCATATTTTGTGAGCATTCTCTTTAGAGGTAGGGTGGTAAAGCAGACAGAACCCAGGCTGGAGTCAGAACAGCCTAGGTTCAGATGTCGGCTGAGGGACAGACCATAGGAAAGTGACCTAATATCTCTGAGTCACAGTTCCCTCAAGTGTGGAAAGGGAAAAACAGTTGCTCATTTAAGAAGCTAATATGAAGATTGGAAAATAATTCATGTTTCCCTTTTTTTTCCTCTTTCCCTTCCCTATATTCACTCTGATTTTCTTTCCTCCCTTTCTTGTATAATTTGGTGCTAAAACCATAAGGTGCACAAGGACAAGTAGGCTAACCTCCCTCAGGGTGGAGAGAGCCAAGAAGGGCAGCAATGGCAGCTGAAGCCTAAGCAGGGTGAAGAAGGCATTGGTTTGAAAAGCACTGCCTGATCAACAGAGCCAAAGACAAAAACCACATAATCATCTCAACAGGTACAGAAAAAGCTTTTGATAAAGTCCAATACTCATTCATGATAGAAGCCCTACAGAAAGTCAGAATAGATGGTCTTTACCTCAATCTGATTAAAAGCCATCCATGACAAACCAACAGCCAACATCATACTAAATGGACAAAAACTGAAAGCTTTCGATCTAAAATCAGGAACAAGACAAGCATGTTCACTTTCACCACCATGTTTTCAATACAGTTCTGGAAACATTAGCCAGAGCAATTAGAGAGAAATAAAAGGAATAAGGATAGGAAAGGCAGAAGTGAAATTATCATTATTTGCAGATGACATGATACTTTACATAGAAGATCCCCAGAACTCCACCAAAAGACTTCTAGATTTTATAACCAAATTCAGTAGCATTGTTGGATACAAAGTCAACACTCAAAAATCAATAGCATTCCTGTACACAAAAAAACAAATGGACTGAGAGAGAAATTGACAAACCACACACTTCAAAATAGCATCGAAAAAATGAAATATTTAGGAATCATCTAACAAAGGAAGTAAAAGATCTATACAGTAAAAGTTACAGTACAGTTAAAGAAGAGATCAAAGATGATTTCAGAAAATGCAAAGATATTCCTTGCTCTTAAATGGCCACACTTCCAAAACTGCTATACAGATTTAATGTAACCCTGAAAGTACCATTTGCACACCTTACAGATCTAGAGAAAACATTCCTAAGAATCATCTGGAACCAGACAAGACCTGGAATAGAAAAGGCAATCCTGGGCAACAAAGGAAAGGCAGGAGGCACCACAATCCCTGACTTGAAATTATACTACAAAGCTAGTACTGAAAAAAAAAAAACAAAAAAAACAAAAAAAACAAAAAACAGATCTGAGAATCAGTGTAACAGATTAGAAGATGCAGACACAACTACAAACACACTCAGCCACCTTATCTTTGACAAAGGGGCTGAACATATTCACAGGCAGAAAAATAGCCTCTTTAACAAATGGTGATGGAAAAACTGGCTTTCCACATGATGAAGACTAAAACTAGACCCATGTCTTTCACCAAGCACTAAAGTCAAAATGGATCAA